CCCAGGATGGACAGGTTGGCAGGTGGGCAGGGGTTGCATGTCGACGCGCAATGAGCGACGGTGACGGGCCGGGCGGGAGGGGGTGTATCCTCTTCTACCTCTCGAGCCTCTTCCCTCCCTCTCTTGGCTCGATCATCTCTCTATGATGTGCGGTGTAGGTACAATGACAGCAGTACCCCTGTTGACGAGGTCGACTGTCTTGTAAGCCGTTTGATGTCGGCTTGATGACGGCGATTTGTCACTTGTGCGTCGAACGGTGGTTAGACGACAGGTCTCAGAGATGGGACGACCAGGCCTGCGAAAGAGTGAAGTGAGGCATATCGTCGATCTGCAGCTGACTTGAGTCTGTTGCGTTATTCCTTGAGCCTGCTGGCGCCACGTCGAGGGGACGAAGCTAAACACACGCCAACCTGACGGTGACCGGAGAATGCAGTATAATGTGAGCGTACACCATCTATTGTTCGCGTCTGGCTCACAAGGCCGAGGATGGCGTCAGCGAAAGGAAAGGCCCGCAGCCACAGCCTGCCGCTAGTCAGGCACCAGGTCCTCAATGTCAGGGCCAAAAAGGGTCGCATGGCCACGAATGGGCCTGGGTGGTGCCATGTGTTCCTGCTGCTGGCCGTCGTGTTGGCCTGGGCGCAGGAACAGGCGCAGGAACAGGCGCAGGAACAGCCAAACAGGGTAGTCTCGGGCCCGAATAGATAGATTGGCGAAGGAGGAGCAGAGCACGGCGTGACAGAGCGGCCAGCGACGCTAGAACGACGCTTTACCTTCACGCTCTGAGCCTGAGCCTTCGATCAAGTTTGTTGGCCACAACGAGCAGCGTGTACGTGCGTGCAGGCACAGGGTCCAGAATGCAACGAATGGTCTACTGGTCACTGTGATGCCAACAACGACTCAGGGTAGCACCGCATCTTGACAGGTCGAGATTGTTACGCTCGATTACGGGAGCTCAAGAGTCGATTGCGCAGAATAGTACAGGCATATTTGTCAAGGCGGCACGGCACGATACAGTGGTCGTGGATCAAGCGGGAGCTCGAACCGACCTCAATGTGACCCCAATGCACCAGCTGGCGCGAGCTGTCTCAGCACTGAATGTCGGACTGTTTTTTTCTGAGCATGTTTCCTCTTGCTCTGACTCGTTGCCCGCGTCGAATGGACTACGGGATGACGAGGACTGAAAGAAGGACTGCACCAGCACATGGAAGGTGAAACTGTACAAGACAGTCAGCAGCACACCGGTCAATAACGAGTGTGAGATGGTCTCAGCCCCGCCGCAGACCACAGTGAAAGGGGGGAATGCGTGGTCTATCATCGGTGTCACTCGCTATGGCGGCGAGAAGCGGTGAACGAGTCACGACGGTTTGAAGAACGACAAGAGGAATCCAAGAGGCTGGCTCGGCTGGCATTG